GAGGGAAGAAAGCCTCCCTCATTCAGCCTCTGCAACGCCCGCTACTGGCTGCGACAGGGCAGGAGAGCAGCTGCTGCCTTTTTATCATTACTAGGTTTTTTTCCCCTCTTTTACAAGTGGATGTTCCCCGGGGGGGACAGGATAGGACACATCTTTGCTCCTCGGCCCAGGGAGGACGGGCAGCGCATGGCCCTCCTCCAAAGCGGGATCTGCCCCCCTCCTCTTTCCTGCCTTGCTGCACTGCATTGCTTTCCCGACCTGCATGTTGCAGGAACGTTTAACCCGTGTCAGCAACAGATGCTGCGAATAACTGGCCTCCGAGCACAGAATATCCCGGTCCCCTTCACAGACAGCAGGTTCCACTCATCCAAGACTGGGCTCTTGCTCTGCCTTGCTCCGGTTGCTCTCACCTCAATTCATTTGTATCTCCACTGTGTTACTCAACACGTCACCTCAGTGGGGCTGGGCTCCCCTTGGATATTTGGTCTCCCAAGGAGAGCATCCCATGCAGGAATCTGGGACAGGATAGTTTTCCAGGTCTGTCTCACCCAGCCCAGGCAACACAAAAACACAGGGATGGCCCAGTGCAGCACAGTGCACACATGCAGCGTGCTGCTCTTACAGAAAATCCCGCAACTGCAAGGGCTCCTGTGCTGGAACTGCCTCCAAAACCGAGCAAAAAGCATTCAGGAATTTGTAATCAGCACTCACAAATAGCCATAAAAGCAAAAAGGAAAGAGAAAAAAAAAAAAAAAAAAAAAAAAGCAACGGGCACCACAGGAACGCCTCAGGCAGCACAGTCCCTGCCACTGGTGATACCCTCACATGGGACCAACACTAACGAGCAGAGACAGGCGATACCTTCAGCTGCCCAACCCCAAATAACCCAGGCGACAGGTATCACATCTCACGGGAACCAGAGCTGCCCTGAATGGAAAAGTTCAGGGAAAAGACCAGCAGGAAGAGCTGCCCGAGGTTGGGTTTCTGCCTTTGTCCCTCTGCCGCAGACTCTGTAGAGCTCCCCCCACCTCATCTCACTTTCTGCTCTGCAGACCCCCCAGGCCACCCCCTGCACACCAACGCTCCCCACAAACCACGACCCATCCCCAAAGGGAGATGGGAAAATTGGCAAAGGGAAGCAAGGGGGAGAACTCCAAGGCACAGTTGGCAGCCATTGGCTTCCAAACGTTTCCTGCAAGGACACGGCCTTCCCCTGTGCCAGGCAGGGCCCAGGGACCTTCTTGATAACACGCAGCGGGGCAGCTTCCTCGTCTCCCTCAAAGGAGCAGAGGCTGGATTCAACCCCAGGCGACCTTCCTGCCAGCTCCTGCAAATCCTCCCAGCCAGCCCTGCCGGCCCCTATGCTGCGAAGCAGGGAAGCACCACTCAGAGCAAATTCCTCTGCAGAAACACGCACTGAAAATGCACTTACAAGCTCCACCGCCTTCATCAGATCTCATTTAACCATTAAACACCCTTAACCAAGAGGCACATGGGGACTTTGCTTTTCCAGAGGCAGGCGTGCATAGAGGCTCTCTGCTTGACTGTCTGTCCCTAAGGAAACGAGAGGCCAGGAACACCGTAGGAAGCATCACATCCTGGAGGCGCCACCCCGTTCCTCCTCAACTTCTTTCATCTCTTAGGAGGGACGGGAGCGCTCGCAGACCCATCCTCCTTCCTGCTCAGCAATCACAAGCCCTCGGCACTGACACCCGAGTTCCCATGGCTACAGGCAGGGAAGTGACAGCCAGCAGATTTAACGTCAGTGCACGGAGAGGCAGGGACGGAGACAGCTGCTGACAGGCAGGATTACACGGTTATCTCCAAATCACCTGCAACGGAGAGAAAGGACGGAGGGTGGACGTGGTGGGAACAGTTCATCGGCTTCCATTTCTAAGGCAATTCATTAGTCCATCTCGTTCTAAGAACTTGTAATTATGGTCTGTGCAGTACATAATAAACAGGCTTTGCTGCATTAAAATAGAGGTTTGGTTCTGAGCTGGAATTTTCCAGCTCTTCACTGCACACACGCATTCACACGAGTTGGATATTGATGGCCCTCACACAAGATGACCTGTACAAGAGCCCCGAGGTTTCTTAGCGTCTGTCCCCAGAGGCCCAGCCAAGCATGGCACGAGTAGCTCCAGCCAGGGCAGAGTCTGGGTGCTGGTTTCCTGCCCAAGGGCACAGCCAGGGAGGCAGCAGGCACTGCCTTGAATGCAGCCCAACGGGCACCACCGGTTCTTACGGACACGGCCTGGGAATTCCCAGCACCCAAATCTGGGTCACCTTGAGTACTGCAGCAAGCAGCTGCTCTCCCCCCCTCCTCCCCTCCCCACCCCCCCCCAAGAAAAAA